AAGTACTGGTGGGGTGCCCAAAAGCCGACGTTCTGCCTGCAGTGTGCGTTTTCGCTTTCATTGCCACTGTCGCTCATTATGTGATACTGCGGTTTCGTGCAGGGAGTTGAAACTAATGGCGTCATTACTAAGAATGATGTTACGGACGTGAGGGGAATAAAGTAGCTTCTTCGTTGTGTATTGGAATCTCAAGAGCGACTTTGCTCGCCTGCTCGACATTTTACTTTCCCGTATACATACGTATTATGCGGAGTAATATACGTAGTATGGGGAAAGTTATGTAATGCTAAGGAAAATCGATTTAAAAAATTCAACAGTGTATGAGGTCCCCTGTTACCGAAAAAGTATTTTTTTAACGTCTGTCCCTCTGTCCGACTGTGAGTAGCATTCTTTTCCAAATTGATGAAACATTTATCGAATTGGTATGAGTCCAAGCTCTAGGATTTTGAAAAAAAATATTAATGTTTGAGGGTACATTATATGTTGACTTTGAGACATTTTCAAAATTTTCTCACAAATGTTTCTAAATTGTTCCTTACATTTCTCGCAAGAATGCAGTAAATACACGTATGAAGATAGAATAGGTGAAAGTGCTAGTTAAGCTAATTACATTAGGGATTTTCACCATCACTCAGGATGGTATGAATTACTGAATCAGTTATGTAAGAGTCTAACTAGTTCTGCGACACACACACACACACACACATAACAGTCTGGACAAGTCATTACATTAACAAATAGCATCAGTGCATAAATGCCTTATGTGGATGCCCATAATCATAACAATTGAGATCACATTGTCCACGTTGCGCTAACAACACATTAAACAGTTAGGACGCTGCCTTGTAAAGGCGTTGAGCGTGAATACAGCCACATGTTACAAAATTTAACGGAATTGTGAGACAGGGAGCCATGCGTCCTGCCTTCACGCCAGAGTGGCGACATCTGAGGTGAGCGGCGGTGCGGTAGCTGCCAGCTGCTTTTGAAGCCCTCAGGGAATAGTAATGCGTTTTGTGAATGAATTCTGAATTAGGCACTAAAGTAATTGTCGTTAATTAAGTATAGGATTGTGGAGAAGTTTAAATTGTTGAAATTATACAGCAGATGTTGTGGTTAAATTGTTATAGAAGTTGTCTTGTGCAACAACGTCATTCGGCCGTGTGGAGATAAGTGCGGTTGTGGGTCGTGGGTGAGCTCGGAGAAACAGGCCCACGTTCACCAGCGTCACGTCACCGCCGGCCAAAACATCGCATCTTGTACACAGAACATGGTGAGAGTTCACTGATCCCGATTACGAAGCGAAGCTGTCCAAGGGATGTTTCGCGAACCATCGCATCCACGGAGGTGATAAACCCACACCGGAAAGCGCATCAAAAAATAACGAAAGGTACAGACGGAACAGAAAGATACACTAGAGGAACATACTTTTAACAAACGTCAGTTCAGAGGAGCCTAATAACTTGGGGATGCGACACATCACTCGTATTCATTGAGCCTACGCCACTGACTTCAACAATTGCTTCACAAATAAGAAATGCACTTTGGTTCTAAGAAATAGAACAAAAGAGGATTTATTAAAGCGATCAAATAACTCGTTTACAAATACAGAGGTTAAGTCGTTATATGTTTCGTCTTCTGATTTGCGGACCGCATTGCTTTATATCACTTGGGTAGTGATTCTATCCAGAGCACCTGTTTTCGGTCCGATATCCTAATAAGAGTATTTCCTTTTATACCGTAGACAGAATCAATGATTTTTCGCTCTGTATTAATAAATGACTAGTGAGCATGTGTAAGCATTCCATACTTTATAAATAATTGTTTTGAAATATAAAATAGGTTCACAGTTACTTCGAACATTTCTACCAACCCCTTGCTAGGAAGTGGAGATTCCCTCCAAAAATGTAATACAACATCCAAAAAGAGCTCATTTTGTAGTTTACGTCACAAAAAACAACATGTGTCTCTTTGAAGAAAACACGAGATCCAAAACCTCTAAATATTTAAGGGCATACAATTTATCAATTCCATATTGCGCTTGACAGTAAAGAGTGTTGTAATTTGTTTGTACGCATGCTTTTTCCTTAAACCATTACTAACGCACTGAAATCATATGCTTTCTTCTTAAATCAATTTGTGGCAGAATCGAGAGGGTGATCTATCCAGCAATACAGGGTATTTTTATAAATTCTTTCTTATAAATGATATTTTATAAATAATTGTCGTAAGAATGCGTTAGGGCAACGTCGTCTTAGATCCATTAGTTCGTAATATAATCAAAAGTTGTTCTAGCGTGTTCTCATTGACGTGGCGGCGCCGACCATAGCCTTATGTAAAGACGGTGAATTTTGACGAACTAAAACATTGCCCAAAGCAATGAATAAAGTGCTCTTAAAATGATTTAAAATTGCCCTAACAACAAAGATAAATGATGTAAAAAATTTGACCACTTCAGATGAACAACTCAATCTGTTGGGTATGTTAGTGAAGTTATCAAGGCTTCTTCCTTTTGTTCAAGATAAACTCAGCTTGAAAACTTTGGGTTTGGACTGTTCTTTAAAAGAAAAAAACTCTGGCTTTATCACAAAATCGACCGAACTGACAATGACGCCGATAAACCTCACAGGAACCTTACATTACATGGTACTCACAAAAGTTGACAGTATAATATATGAGCGAAGAAATCGAATAGACTACTAAGGAATTCCATGGTGAATATTTGTTGCTCTTCGTAAATATTGTTTGAAGGTAGTGCCATTAAAATGATACCAATATCTATCTACTGCAAAAATGCAGTAAAATGACGTAAAAGTAAAAAAAGGCATATAAGTTGAAATCGATTGAAAATGCAAAACAAATGACATAAAAGTGGGCCATTTCGTTTCGGCATTACATAAAACGAATTTCTGTACCAGACGGCATTGTTTTAAAGCGAAAAGAAAAAAAAATGACACTTCTTTAAAATCCGCCCCTACTGCCGATGACGAAAGCCTGGGTAGGAGATTTTCACACATGCTTCGCCGCAGGTCCAACAGAGCGCGTGGCAGACGTGATCACGAGGGCCCTTGAGGAAGGGGTGGGCCAGCGAAGGACCAGCGCCGGGGTGTGGAAGGGTAAAGGCCCGCCACCGTCATCACTATTGCCATTGCAACTCTCTCCGCCTCCATTACGCCGACTCCTCTACTAACACCCCCCCCCTTCCGACCAACTTCCACACGCCAACCACTGAGGATCCGCCACCATCGTCATCGGTACCACCATCTCTGCCAACAAAACCATCATCACTACCTGCCTACTACCACCCGCGCAGTCATCACTATCAAAACCATTATAAAAACAACCACCTCACCGGGAGATGTAGCTTAGGGCGGACACTTCGGCACTACAGAGATAGCTAAGTCAAGCTTTGTTGCTGTCTGGAGGACAATGCTAGCGGCGAGCTGCTCTCTGATCAGTAGCTTTCTATGGTACCTCAGATCAATACTAGGTGAATGCTAGAGCAGGACCCTTATAAATGAGCTACGAACAGCACGCGATATTTCCTTCCAATTCTTGTCTTATCCTACCTCTTACATACACTTACATTCACTATACTACCACATGTGCCGGAAGATCGGTCGGGAGTTTAAAGTTTGCCCCGGCTGGGACGGTGCTCCGCTGATTGGAGATACCTGCGGAAAACCCTACTAGACGACGATACGTCGGCATCGGATCTCGCTATCCCTCAGGGGAAGTTCATCGCTACCTTTCGAGCAAAAACATGCACTACTCTTAAAAAAATGACCTTAGCCGTTGGCGGGCCTGAAATCACTAACAATCAATCAATCAACAACTTCCTCCATCGCAACCATCGCATCCACTGCAATAACCATCCCCGCAACCATCACGCTTACGATGGGTATCTGGAATTATTACGATAGTCAGGAGCAGTAGTTTTTTTTACTTATTCAAGCACGTATACATCTCAACTATTATAGTATTTGCAGCATGTTAGATAGTCATGGAAGGATTATTTCGTATATAAATTGAACTTTCAGAACTAAAGGCCATCGAAAATATCGCTTTAGGAATGCTTCAGAAACTACGATATCATTACGTAATGACCATCATATGCTAAATGTATAATTGTATTCTGTATTCTTTCCGACATTAATATAGTTTAATAAACCATTTTATTGAATGTAGAGCCATTGTAATGAAGGTACCTAAACCAATACCTTTAGATAAATGAAGTCTCTTTTTCTTATTGCAGGCAAAAATTACAATAGTTCAATATTACGTTACTATTGCCCATGATGACAAAAAGTATGTGCTGATGTAGCACCACTAGTTTGAAATTCGCAATGTCCTGAAGCTTCATTACCTTATATAAAATAATAAAGAAAGAAATCACGCAAAAGAAACATTGACAATTATTTCTCATCGCTAATTTAATCAGCGAATCTCTCCTAGTAATTATTATCGTAAAAAATCATCATAATTAAGTGGCGAAGCAATTTGTGGATTGGAAAAGAACTTTCAATGAACGCTTCACATTCGGTATGTCTATTTTGCAAATAAATAATACGTTTATAAACCCAAATGAAACTATGAATGGGTGGTTGTTAATTGATCAATTGACGGATGGGGAATGATCTAGTTAATCAGAATTCAACTAGTATCTTTAGTACTTATTCATGTTAATGATATTTCGTTCGGTCATGTTAGACCACTTCGGAGCTCAATTGTGATGAACAAATTCAAACACTTTTTTTTATTAATTTATTGCATATTCATCTGGATTTGAATGAAAGTTTGGACGAGTTCTGAAAATAAAATATAAAGAGAAGAGCATTTATCTAATGTAAATATTTATTTCATTGCAGAATTTACTTTAAGAGTTCCTTTTATTGTATCAAAATTTTGGTTTTTATTGAATATTACTTATTGTATTTTTACCTAAACCACACTTATTATTTATTGTGAAGCAGTTAAGATATTGTTTACAGATTATTGTAGTTTTAACTGTACAATATTCCATCTGCAAGCAAAAAATATAATAATAATAATAATAATAATAATAATAATAATAATAAATATAATGTGTAGCACTCTTTTCTGAGCCAAAATCTATCGCAAGCTCTGCACCTTTCATAACTTCAGAATAAAAGGTCAACGACGGTTTTGAGACACAAAAGCGTCGAACTATATGATCTGGATTGGTCAAATCTGAGGACATTCTATCATTCAAATGTACGTCGGATCTGTAGCTTTGTTTATTGGAAGATCATAGGAACGAGAACGAATGATTTCGGGTTATCTATAACAGCTAAATTCTAGAGTCAAATTAGTCTTCATATTGGTAGAAACAGAGATTCCTTCACATGACTTATAAGGGGATGCTGGAGTAATATCTTAAACATCGGGTCACGTCCTGTTTATTCCACTCAATGCCTTGCTACATGACTTATTCTTAAATTTTTAATGTTAAGCTGTCTGGTTCATACGAGTTATCGTTTACAAGTGTATTCCCCTTTATTTTGTAAAACAAAATTCATTTCATACATGTGATTTTTGTAAGTCACAATACCGACTAGATGTTGATTATATCTAAGAGTTTGACTGAAGAGGCTTGGCTTAAAAATACACAAATCAAAGTAGTAAATATATAGGAATTTTAAAGAAATGATTTCACAAAGTAATGGCATAAAGATAACTAGTAAGAAATGTGAATTACAACATCTGATAAATTTGTGGAAGTCTGATTTCTTAAACAATTACCGTGTTTACTGATCTTCCACAAATATTTTGGAATTTTTAAAATTGTTTTCTTTAATTTTAATAAGTGCTTCAATAATATAAATAAGGAAGAACATATTTGGAGCAGTTTTTGCACCTTTCAACCCACCGTGCTGGGAGAATAGATGCGGGTGGGGGTGGAGCTGGTGTGACAAAGATTCCTGTCGAAAACGTCGCCTCACTCGCAAATAACCACTCATCCCGACTTACTTGGCTGCCTTTCAATGACATTTCATATTCCGACACTAACGCGGTTTATTGGATCTTTGCCCCAACGTTACCCCTGCGCTTGGTTTATGATGAACGAATCCTCTCTTTTAGATCTCACCTCAAGCGGATTTTCCAGGTAGTATGAAGAAACTGTGAGAGAGCAGTTTGGAAAGAGTGAAGAAATCGAATAACACATTTATAACAAAAAGGAATTTTACATCAAATATGACAATTTTTTTCCTAAGCATAGAAGATTTAGGGGGTACTTTCGACGAAAGTTCTTTTAAAAGAATTGATTCAAAAATGCAGGAAAATGAACATCTTGTGGACCATCCAATAAAATGGTGAGGTTAGAAAGAATAATTTTGAAGAAAGAAGTAAAATTATCGTGTGTAAAGTAACAAGCGGAAAGAAAAACATAGATAAAAAAGGAATATTTGTAAATTTTGTTCGAAGAATTAATTTAGAGAAAGGGAAGTTAGAAAGAAAAATAATCATTAGTATAACATTATAATTTGTATTTTATATGTATCGTATTATTTAGAATTATTTTCGAACAATCATAATGTTAAACATAATCAAGAATCATTTAAAATACCTGGATTTTGCATTCGGGATAATTTGTAATTTTGGATGGAGAATAATTCTCAGCACAAACACAAGAAGAGATGAAGTCCGTAAGTTTTGTAGTGCCATTGATGAGAAGTTTCAGAAACTCAAGTTTCTCAGTTGTTTGCACAATTACGAAAACAATAGGAAATAAATTGAAATTGGAGACATTCTTCAATGTTCCCTAGACGACAAAGATATAACTAATATGGAATACTGTATGCAATGTCACACATTATTATTTATTAATATACACAATTACAAATATTATATATACACAATTATTTATAATATACACAATTCCAAATCTTACACAATTATTTATCAATATAAATATTACCTGATTTTAATATATTTGTGTAGTTTAGCATAGGGCAGTAGTTTTAGAAAGCGTTATTTTTGTTTCAGCTTTGATTCATATTTAAAATGTCAAAAAGTAATTGATCAAATAATAGAGTACTTTTTGAATTGTAATTTTTATAGAAGCAATGATTGTTCAGGATCGTGAAAGTGTTTAGTAAAGTAATTCATTGTTGACAAGTATTGCTATTTTTTCACAAATTTAAAACTTTTCAAATAAAGAAAAGTCAAAGGAATTAGAGCTGTATGGTGTTGAACGTCAAACCATCTTATGCTGTACACTGGAATAGTAAAATTAAGTAAATAATCGTATAACAATTGATATTAAAATCAAACAATTCTTATTAAAATAACGGCCAGGTCCATTTGAAATCTAAATTGAGATCATATTTAGTCATAGTTTTTACGGAACACGAACATAAGCTGAACCAGTTTAACTAATTGGTAGAGAGAACTATTGATCACCGTTACTGTAGGCAAATCGAGTTTTCGTGCGCTAACGTCAGCTTTTAATTTCAGAACTATCTCTGCAGGATTTTGGTCCGTCACTACTCTCCTCATTCCCGTGTTAAATCCACGTCACACGCAGAGGTGCTCAACTAGCAGGAAAATGTGGGAGTGAGGTCGCGAGTGCATTCGCCTCTGCCATCGAGGAGCACAGATTTTCTCATCCCCCCTGCTCTGCTGCAACGTAGAAGGATTTGATCGAGCTCTTTGACGGCAACTCAGCTGTAGCGTAAGAAAAAGCGTCCTCAGCGCTAATTGAAGACTGAAAATGGGAAGGAAAACTTAGAAATTCCAGGAAACCAAGAAGGAATAAAAAAATCAAATTACCAATAATTATTGTCAATGAAACGGAAAATATGATGGTGTTTGGTAAGGCTATATGGTATGATGGTAAAGCTATTTTAAAATCATTTTAATTTCAGATAATATTATCATTTGAAATGCACATTTCGAGTAGTTCGTATAATTAATATGTTCCACTTCCAGAAGCGCAGTCAAGAACAGACTTTCAAATAGAGTAAGTTCGAAGGTGCTTATTACACTGCAACATCTATTGGAGGAATTTTCAAATAATACTGATTCTTTGTTCTGCGTCGATCCTTTCACAGAATATTCAATCTGGTAAATTCATATGTTTTCATGATCTCTGATAATTTAGTAATGTGAGCAATTTTCATATTTTCTATTTCTACCTTTCATTTTTCTACAAGGTGGGGAACAGAGTTCACTTATTGGAATCACTCCATTTCGTGGTTCTGATGTCTGACGTGCCTGAGTATTTCGCTCTGAGAAAGTTTGCAGTATGAGGGCCAAAACGTTTTATTCAATTCAATGATGCCTTATTTTCCGTGGCAAGCGATGAGTCCCGCTCTTCCGTTTGACGAGGCAAATTTCTCTACACTCCTTTCACTGTCTAGCAGAGAAAGACGGTATCATTCGGGCGAAATAACTGATGATTTTAATTTGCTCAGAGGCTTCATTTTGGCTTCATGGTCTTTTAGAGACAGTAAATCTACAACATGGGAAGGCCGGCTTTACTTTTTGTCAGCAAGAACACGCACGAAGGATTTTTCTCCCTAAAAATCCAGGGCTTCAATAGGACTTGAACCCGCGAACTTGGGTATAGCCCAAGTTAACCGTTACACCACCGAACCCACTTATACCAAGGAGATTACTTACTCCACCGAACCCCACTTACACCACCGAACCTACTTACATCACCAAAGCCCCGTTGCATATCAGTGCTTAGGACGTGGCGTCTCCCGGACACCCAAGTACACTAGATAATGACTCCGGCCGTGGAAGCCTACGCCTTACCCGGATTCGATTAATTATTTTAGGCTGCCGGACGCATGATCTGCTAAGTTCATTAGTCCAGTAAGAACAGTGCATGTTTTTGCTCGGAGATTGTGGTGATCTTCCCTCGTTAGATAATGAGATCCGACCTACTGCCAGCTAGCATTTCCTCATCCCGGTGTTTCTCACGAGCAAGGCACCGCTCTAGGACAAGCTCTAAGCTCTCCACTGGTCACCCGATAGGTGTAGTAATGTAGTGTATGTGGGCGTAAGTGTGTATAAAGGGTGACGAGGTCAGGGAAGGAGGAAAGATCGCGCGGAGTACGTTGCCCGTTTGTTAAAGTACTGCTCCGTCACTCGCCTGATGTTGATCGGAGAAACCACGGACAACTAAACAGTAAATTTCAATTTCATTGTAAACTTCATATTTAAATACACGTACAATTTTACAATTATACGTTTTATTTAACTTAACGTACATTAGATCGGCAAACATTTAAGTTTATTTTTAATTTGTTTTTACCAACTGATACAAACTGATTTTTGAAACATTTTCTGTTACGAAGACGATCCCTACCAAAAAGTTCAATCGAATGAATTAATTAGAATTCTTTTCCAGACAGCGACAGAACTTGATTCAGCTCTCTGGCAAGTGTTGAAAATACTGCCACCGTCGGATTTCGACGCCTTCCGTCGACGTTATTTGAGTACAACTCCTGCGTCCACTTGGAATTAATCAGATGACACCTTGTAAACGACAAATTAGAGAATCGTCAAGGAACATGGAACAAGGAACAATTAACATGCACGACACTTACGGGAATGTTTATTTTAGCACTTGACGCGCCCGTAAAAACGAAGCAATACATGAATCATTTACCCTACCAATATCGATGAATGAGTACAAATTGTCTCGTGCATTACCAACGCGAAAAGGGCTGTGGAGCTCATAGCCTAATTTTTATTTTTTGACACATTAGACAATTCCGCTAAATTAATAAGTTGAATCACCGATAGATATAGATCATGTTCACTCATTTTTTTAAAAATGTTTCATTTTCATCTCCATCTCCAATAGAGGTAAAAAACGAAACTTTTGCACTTCTAAAACATGTGAGTAAAATATATGAGTGTAATATTAATAACAAAACTAATTACACTTTTATGCAATTTTATAATTTAGCTATTATTATACTTTAAATTTAAACTATAATTTTATTACAAATTTCTTTATACACAATCAATGATGGAAGAACTAAA